TTTTTTAAATGTAACTGATGAAATATTACTTCTCAATTAACCAGAAATATGGAACTTGTAGAAAAATTTAAAAATATTAAGTTTTGCAATCTTAGTCACTTAAAATGTAATACTAAGAAATTAGATCACGAGATCTATTTGCAAGAATTTGACGTTTTTTTATAAATAACTTATGATAGTCTTATGATATAATGACGTAATTTTTAAACAGTTAAAAAGCATCAAAAAGGAAATTAATTTTATGTTTATCCAGCAGATAGAGGTACTTACTAATAAGATCTAGCAAATGGACCATTTTACCCCGCGGTCCGTTTTACCCCACCTTCCCCTAGTTAATGGCTATTGCCAAGCAGATGGAGCCACAATAATAAGTAGATTAAAGAATAGGTACCGTATAGCAAAAACCAACCGCTTATTGGAGTGCTAAAGAACTTTTCTTGAAGAAATAAATGAGAATTTCATGAGGGCCATTCCTAGGGAGGTACACTCCCTAATTGTCTCAATTCTAGATAGGTGGTTATAAACAACCGCATGGTTAACTCACGTTCCGATTCACTCAAGTCCTATCGGAACATATATGTCTCGTATATATACAAGATTAAACGCATAGACTCACCAAGGTGCCATCACTACACCGAGGCTGTGCAGATGATCCTGAGCACACGCTATAGGTGTGTCCAGCGTAGCTGGACTAACCTATAGCGTGCTATACCTAACTAACAAACATGTGATGAACTGCAAAAACTCATTGACATTCTCTCAACGGAGCCCAGCATCAATGAGACTCTCTTTAAAGACAAATCGGGATGGAATAGTGTAACCTCATACATTAATCACATTTGAAAAAGAGAAAGCTGAGCACATTAAACAGCATCCCGCAGCTGAACCAAGCCAGCAATGTTAGTCACAACCCTATTGAGTTCACCTTTTTTGCTTAGTATTTGTGGTATTATTCCCCACAGGAGATGGGATGAGACGCGGGTAACGTGTTCCGTCTTTGTAATGGTACTTAATGATTGCGAAAGCAGTTCCGAGTCTGTTTCTTAGGCGATGGGTAGATTAAAAAAAAGACCGTAGAATGCGCACTTTAGGCATGAGCAGAGCGCTCTGCGCAGCACATGAACATGGCCCCTCGATTGTATGCGTGGAAACCCAGGACGAGAATTGGTAATGCTGAGCGTGAGTTACACGGCAGCGTGTCACACGGCAACGAAAAGTCACACAGAGAGAGATAACGCGTGAGCAGCGAGCGGGCAGAAGTTTTACTTTTTGTTGCTTGTCGTGCGATACTCATCGGTGGCAGGCCTACAGCATACATCTCACAATTTAGTCGCACAAATGCGTGTTTATTCGCCAATCTTTTTTAATTAATTTTTCTAAATTTTTTCTAAATTTTGTCCATAATTATTGCAAAAATTATAAAACAGTAAAGGATTTTTCGGCTACTCTTATCTACTCTTCCATAAGCGTGACCAATATAAAAATTATATTATATAAAAATATATGTAGAAAGGATACTTTTAAATTAATGATGATTAAAACATTATAATGTGTATAAATTTATATGATATACTGACGTGTTTCGAAGATAAATGCATGAGAAGACTCGCAGTATATTTGCAGAAAATTCTGCAACGTCGAATTTTCTGAACCTTTCCAGTCATAATTTGTGCTGTGCACCGCTATACTCAAGATATGTTCAACAATTGCCAAGAGCAAAATTAAAGCGGTCATTAAGTAGAGTTTCCAACGAAGTATTGGTCGGTCTATTTTATTACTGCGGAAGAAAAATTTTGATAAATACATTATACTAATAAAATTTAGAAAGTAATTAAAAATTTACTAATTTTAAAAAGAAAATTTACTAATTTTAAAAAGAAATATTACTTATTAAGATTGTCATTTAAAAAATAAGTCAATTTTGAAAAACTGAGTAGTAATATTTAAGTGAAAAAATATTATTACCTATAAAGAATGCAGCGGTAATTGTAATATATATATGGATATAAAGTAATTTCTTATTAAAAAGTAAATTAAGAAATTTTGAATTGTATTGTATAGGAATAATTTTCCCATACAGCACAAAAAAATTTTACATTGCAGAAATATTTTATTGCATTATTCTAACATTGCACAATGCGAAATATTACTACAATGTTATCGTTAGATTCTAGTAATGGTAAAATGTTCGCATTTAAAAATATTGCAATGTAACGTTATAGCAATATTACAGTGCAATATATTTGTAATAATGCACAAACTTTGATTTTAATGAACAATTCGCTTCGAAACATTCGTAGCGTCAAGTGGACTGCAGCTATAGAAGCATCCAAAATAAGAATAACAAATTAAACTTTTTTTTAGTTTTGATTCTACGTACTCCCGACATTTGTCCATTAAATGTTCAATATAGCAATGTTTCTGCTATGTTGCTGCAATGTTCTGTCCTGTATGGGTTAAGAGCATCTAAAACCTCTTATTTCCATCTGCAATTTGTAATTTATAGTTTTCATATGCTTTTGCTCTTAACCCTTTCGAGTCTATCGGGACATATACGTCCCACATATAAACAAAGCTTCTTTTTCAAGTCTAGAGCTTAATACGTCCCAAGGGGAGGGTCTCAACTGCCTACATTCCCATTTGCCAACAGCTTCGTTTGCCCACAACATTTTGCCGACAGCTTCAATTGCCGACATTCCCGATTGCCTACAGAGCGATTGCCTACAAGCATTATTGCGCACATTTAAAAATTAAAAATACAAACGTACGTTTGCACACAAGACATTATTGCACACATAATATCATGTGTGCAATGTGTATGT